CAAGGGCTTTGAAACTGGGGCTCCAGGCTGAAGGCTGACTCAGTGTCTCAGCACTCAGCAAGCCCCTCGGCCTCTCAGCTCCTTTACCCTCTGTCCACACAGTGTAGTGGATGGAGGTGCCAGTGAGAGGCTGCGAAACAAAGGTGGCTTTCACCCAGAGCCAGCTGAGAGGTGACGACCGTGGTGGCGGGGTCTGCAGCCCTGAAGCAGGGTTCCGTCCTGTGACTCTGAGCTCAAAAATGTGTGAAATTTCTTTTTGCTGGGTATTCTACATCAAGCGGAACCTGTTCTCAGAGAAACATTCCATTTCACAGACCCTAATGGCTTTCCTCTGTGCTGATGCATTAATGAGGCTCCGGCTCATTCTAATCAGAAGGAAGCCATGCAGATAATTGCCTGAATTTTTAATTCAGGGTTATGATAGGGGAATCAAAGTCACACTGCAGTTGCTGAGGCTGCCTCTAGTTCCAGGCCATTGACTTTTGCAATTTTCTTTGATTTCCCCCTCCTTGTCTCTTTCTCCCCACTCCCACTTTCTCTCTCCTTCTCTCTCTCTCTCTCTCACTCTCGCTCACTCTCTCTCTCTCAGGCTTGGTGGAGGCTGACAGTTTCAGGTTGGAGTGGAGTAGAGAAATAGGGGCAGCCCTTGGGGTCTCCCACAGTCTTTCTTCCTCCTCTTTTGCAATCCTTCCCCTCCCCCAAGAAAGCATGGCTCCTGCCTGCACCTGTCACCCCAGGGCTGGTTCTGGGAGAGTGCCCTGCAACCAGCCTTCCCACTCAGGGTCTCCGTGCCCGTAAGCAAAGACAGGAAATTTGCCCCAGGAGAGGATCTCCCTTGGCAATTTACTTCTCATTTCATCTGTTTTTAGGGCAGAGGAGAGAAATGATAAAGGGAAGGGAAAAAGAGATCAGGTGGCCAGAGCAGCTCAGAGTCTTCCGGTTCCTGGCAAAGGCCATTTGTTCTCCACTGGTGCTGAGACCAAGGGCAGATGGGAAGTTGGAGGAACCCAGGCCTGAGGTCCTTCTTGAATTAACTTCTTGCCTGACTTAGTCATCACTGAGTGCTAGAACTTTAAAGAACTTACAGAACCCTGACAACTACAGGTACTAAGACAGAGGTAAATGCAAACTGGCCACTAACCCACAAATTAAAAAAGGACCCAGAGGCTGGTACAGAAAGAGGCTCCCTGACGTTGGCCAGTCTGCCTGCCCAGAATGTCCAGGAAGTTGGGGTGACACAGAATTTGCTAGGGTGAGAGTCAGCAGCCTTCATGGCTGAATTCCAGCCAATAGTTACTTTCCAGTGACTATTCTTGCAAGGGAGGTTTCTTCTCCCAGCATGCTCCAGTGCTAGCTATAGCAACCCGTTTGCTACACGTTCACGCACATTTACCCTGGAAGCCGGCATCCCGCAGAGGGATTCTCTCCCTTCCCTACTGGTCTCCAAGTCACTGGGCACCACACACGTGGCCTCTAAGAGCAAAATGTATTTCCACATCTCTGGCTCTGTATATTGGTTCGGGATTCTTACTTTCAAGAAAAAGAAGATCATTTGTACCAGAACTGGGCATCTCCTAGGTGCCAAGGATGTCACATGCGCTCATTCATTTAACCAGTACAAGCACTGTGTGAAGAAGAGATGACCCTCTCGACTTTACAGATCAGGAAACTTGGGTTCACCAAAAAGGAACAAAGATTTTACTGCCACGGGCACCTCACCTTCCAGGGGAAGTCTTGTTTCGTGGAATCCAGAAATCCCTTTAAAGGTGCATTTCCAGGGCTTAGCAATGCTACTGATAATGCAGTCTCTCCAATTGCAGGCTACAGCTTTCAGAAATCAAAAGAGGCAGTTACCTTTATTATGCTTCTGGAATTTGACCTCCGCTGGGCTTTTGTTTCCTCAATAAAACATGGCCTCATAACTGAATAGCACCCCTCTCCCAAGAATGCCAACACAACCTCACAGACTCTGCAGTCATCCACACACTGATTCCTTAAGAGCATCCCGGCCAGGCGCGGTGGCTCACACCTGTAATCCCAGCACTTTGGGAGGCCAAGCTGGGCGGATCATGAGGTCAAGAGATAGAGACCATCCCGGCCAACATGGTGAGACCTCGTCTCTACTAAAAAATACAACAATCAGCTGGGTGTGGTGGTGCACACCTGTAGTCCCAGATACTCGAGAGGCTGAGGCAGGAGCATTGCTTGAACCTGGGAGGCGGAGGTTGCAGTGAGCTGAGATTGCACCACTGCACTTCAGCCTGGCGCCTGGCAACAAAGCAAGACTCTGTCTCAAAAAAAAAGAACATCCCAAAGAGAACTACCGTTCAACCCAGAAATCCCATGACTGGGCATCTACCCAAAGGAAAAGAAAATTGCGTTACCAAGCAGACACATGCACTCACATATTCATTGACATGTTATTCACAATAGTAAAGACATGGAGCCAACCTAGATGCCCATCCACGGTGGGTTGGATAAAGCAAATGTGGTACATAGACACCATAGAATACTATGCAGCCATAAAAATGAATGAAATCACATCCTCTGCAGCAACACGGATGCAGCTGGAGGCCATTATCCCAAGGGAACTAATGCAAGCACAGAAAACCAAATACTACATGTTCTCATTTATTAGTGGGAGCTGACCACTGGGTACATATGGACACGAAGATGGGAGCAGTAGACAGTGGGGATTCCAAAAGGGGTGAGGGAGGAAGGCAAGGGCTGAGAAACAGCTTAGGTCATTTTTTTTTTTTTTTTTTGAGACGGAGTTTCGCTCTTGTTACCCAGGCTGGAGTGCAATGGCGCGATCTCGGCTCACCGCAACCTCCGCCCCCTGGGCTCAGGCAATTCTCCTGCCTCAGCCTCCTGAGTAGCTGGGATTACAGGCACGCGCCACCACGCCCAGCTAGTTTTTTTGTATTTTTAGTAGAGACGGGGTTTCACCATGTTGACCAGGATGGTCTCGATCTCTCGACCTCGTGATCCACCCGCCTCGGCCTCCCAAAGTGCTGGGATGACAGGCTTGAGCCACCGCGCCCGGCCTTTAGGTCATTTTTTGATCTAAGGTAGCGTACTGTGCCCACTACCTGGGTGATAGAATTATTCATACCCCAAATCTCAGTGTCATGCGATATATCCACGCAACAAACCTGCACATGTACCCCCAAATCTAAAATAAAAGTTGAAATTGTTTCAGAAAAAAAGAACAGTCCATCTCTTCTAGAACAGTGGACCTCAGCATGGTGCTAGATTATTTTATGATAGCACAGGGTATCTCCAGGGACGTTTGTGAACCTCTGTTGAACTTTTAAAGGAAAATCAGTTACCATTTCTTTCTTTTCTTTTCAATTTTTATAGAGATGGAGTCTCACTTTGTTGTCCAGGTTGGTCTCGAACTCCTGAGCTCAAGTAGTTCTCTCGTCTCAGCTTCCAAAAGTGCTGGGATTACAGGCAGGAGCCACTGCATCCAGCCGGGTTTCTATGTCTTTTAATTTTTTTTAAAGGCATGTGCTTTGGGACACCTTTAGGCAGAGTTAGGGTTTCATTTATTCAATCAATCAGCATATATTTAATGAGCACCAACTATGTGCCAGATTGTGCCAGGCACTGAGTCCTGCCCTCCGAGGGGGCATCACAGTTGAGTAGGGTAAATGAATGCAGGCTGAGGGATGTGGCAGAGGGAAGCACAATCTGCTATGAACGAAATTGAAAGGAAATCCTGAAACCAAGCTAACGCCATGTGTAAACTCCGACAAAATTGAGAGTAACAGCAAGCACCCTTGTTCCTGAGGCCAGGGCATGGATCCATTCAGGGAGGAAAAACCCCATTCTAAACTTTGGTCTCCTCCCACCTCAAAGCCAGCTTTCCCTTAGCCCCCTGGAGACCCAGCCTGCTCCTCAGGTCCTGTGCATTCCAGTTCCAGCCCTATGAACTTGGAGTTAATGATTAAACCCTGTGGTAGTGCCGTGGCTGGAGGCCGAGGCTTTCTTGGGGTGAGCTGGGTGGCTCAGCCCTGGAAACTGCCGAGTTCCTGGCTTGGCTCCAGCCAGGGACAGGCCGGAGACAGATCCCACCCACACACCCACATGCAGCTCATTTTCAAAGTTGGCTGCAGTCTCAACAACCTCTAGTCATAGAACGTCCTGCGGCAAACCTAAGGCACTGTGGGACAGTGGAAAACCGAATGTAAAAGGAAATGCAAGTCTTGGGTGCAAATCCTGATCCTGCTACTAATTCACTGAGTGACCTTGGGGCAGTCTCCTCAGCTTTTCTCGCCTTCAGGTTCCTCATCTGTGACAGAAGAACGTTGGACCAGAACACGTCGTGGTCTCTTGCAACTCTATGCATTTGCTCATGCTGTTACATTTGCCTGGCACACCCTTCCTACCCCCTTCTTTTCTTTCTTTCTTTCTTTCTTTTTCTTTTTTCTTTTTTTTTTTTTTGAGACGGAGTTTCGCTCTGGTTACCCAGGCTGGAGTGCAATGGCACGATCTCGGCTCACCGCAACCTCCGCCTCCTGGGCTCAGGCAATTCTCCTGCCTCAGCCTCCTGAGTAGCTGGGATTACAGGCACGTGCCACCATGCCCAGCTGATTTTTTGTATTTTTAGTAGAGACGGGGTTTCACCCTGTTGACCAGGATGGTCTCGATCTCTCGACCTCGTGATCCACCCGCCTCGGCCTCCCAAAGTGCTGGGATTACACAGGCTTGAGCCACCGCGCCCGGCCCTTTTTTTCTTTCTTTCTTTCTTTTTTTGAGTTGGAGTCTCGCTATGTCACCCAGGCTGGAGTACAATGGCGCGATCTTGGCTCACTGCAACCTCCGCCTCCCAGGTTCAAGTGATTCTCCTGCCTCAGTCTCCCGAGTAGCTGGAACTACAGGCATGTTCCACCACACCCAAAAAATTTTTGTATTTTTTGTAGAGACGGGGTTTCTCCCTGTTGACCAGGATGGTCTGGATCTCTTGACCTCGTGATCTGCCCGCCTCGGACTCCTAAAGTGGTGGGATTACAAGCTTGAGCCACCGTGCCCAGCCCCCTTTTGTCTACTTACTCATCCTCCAAAGTGCAGCTGAGGGGTCACCAGCTTCAGAAAGCTTTTCCCGACCCTCTCCCAACAGGCTAAATGAGGTGCCCCTTCTTTTAGCTCCATAGCACTCTGTGTTTCCTTTATCATAACACTTTGCTGTTACTGTTTTTACAGGCATATTTTGAAGACATTGTGAGTTCAATTCCAGACCACTGCAATAAAGCAAATATGGCAATACGGTGAGTCACACAAATGTTTTGGTTTCCCAGTGCACTTAAGAGTTATGGTCACACTATACTGTAGTCTGTTAAGTGTACAATAGCATCACATCTTTTAAAAAGTACACACCCTAATTTTAAAACAGTTTGTTGCTAAAAAAAAAAAAAAAAAAAAAAAAAAAAAAAAAAAAAAAAAAAATTGCTGGCAATCATCTGAGCCTTCAGTGTGTTGAAATCTTTTTGCTGGTGGAGGGTCTTGCTTCTCTGTTGATGGCTGCTGACTGTCAGGGTGGTGCCTGCTGAAGATGGAGGTTGCGTGGCAATTTAAAAAAAAATAAGACAATGAAGTTTGTGACATAGATTGACTTTTCCTTTTACAAAAGATTTCTTTGTAGCATGCAGAGAAATTTTGGTAGCATTTTATCCACAGTAGACGTCATTTCAAAATTGGAGTCAATTCTCTCAAATCCTACCACCACTTCACCAAGTAAGTTCATGCGAAACAGTGTAACCGTGTTCCTGTTTCCCCACAGCCTCACCAGCATCTGCTGTTTTGTTGACTTTTTAATAATCACCATTCTGACTGGTGTGAGGTGGTATCGCATTGTGGTTTCGAAATGGTTTCTCTAATAATCAGTGTTGTTGACCCTTTATTCTTATGTTTGTTGACCACATAAATCTCTTCTTTTGAGAAGTATCTGTTCATATCCTTTGCCCACTTGTTAATGGGGTTTGGTTTTTCCTTATAAATTTAAGTTCCTTGTAGATTCTGAATATTAGCCCTTTGTCAGATGGATAGATTGCAAAATTGTTCTCCCATTCTGCAGTTTGTCTGTTCACTCTGATGATAGTTTCTTTTGCTGTGCAGAAGCTCTTTAGTTTAATTAGATCCCATTTATCAATTTTTGCATAGATTCTCACACAATAATATGGGGAGACTTTAACACCCCACTGCCAACATGAGACGGATCATCGAGACAGAAAATTAACAAAAATATTCAGGACTTGATCTCGACTCTAGATCAAGTGGACCTGTCAGATATATACAGAACTCTTCACCCAAAAACAACAGAATATACGTCCTTCTTGGCACCACATGGCACTTACTGTAAAATCAATCACATAATTGGAAGTAAAACACTCCTCAGCAAATGCAAGAGAACTGAACTTACAACAGTCTCTCAGACCACAGCACAATCAAATTAGAACTCAAGATTAAGAAGCTCACTCAAAACCACACAACTACATTGAACAACCTGCTCCTGAATGACTCCTGAGTAAATAATGAAATTAAGGCAGAAATCAAGAAGTTTTTTGAAACCAATGAAAACAAAGAGACAATATGCCAGAATCTCTGGGATGCAGCTAAAACAGTGTTAGCAGAGAAATTTATAGTACTAAATGCTGTAGCAAAAGCTAGAAAGATCTCACAATGATAATCTAACATCACAACTAAAAGAACTAGAGAACCAAGAGCAAACAAACCCCAAAGCTAGCAGAAGACAAGTAATAGCCAAGATCAGAGCAGAATTGAAGGAGATAGAAATTAAAAAAAAAAAAAAAAAAAAAAAAAAAACCCTTAAAAAAATCAATCCAGGAAGTAGTTTTTTGGAAAAAAAAAAGTAATAAAATGAATAGACTGCTAGCTAGACTAATAAGAAAAGAAAGAAGAATCAAACAGACATAAGAAAAATGATAAAGGGGGCATCACTGAAATATAGCCATCAGATAATACTAAAAACATCACTATGAAAATAAGCTAGAAAATCTACAAGAAATGGATAAATTCCTAGACACATACACTCTCCCAAGACTGAACCAGGAAAAAGTTGAATCCCTGAGTAGACCAATAACAAGTTCTGAAACTGAGGCAGTAATAAATAGCCTACCAACCAAAAAAAGCCCAGGACCAGACAAATTTAGAGCTGAATTCTACCAGAGGTACAAAGAGGAGCTGGTACCATTTCTTCTGAAACTATTCTAAGCAATTGAAAAGGAGGGACTCCTCCCTAACTTATTTTATGAGGCCAAAGTCATTCTGATACCAAAACCTGATACAAAAAAAGAAAACTTCTGGCCAATGTCCCTGATAAACATCGATGCAAAAATTCTCAATAAAACACTGGCAAACCCAGTCCAGTAGCATGGCACATCCAAAAGCTTATCCACCACGATCGAGTCAGCTTCATCCCTAGGATGCAAGCCTGGTTCAACATATGAAAATCAATAGACATGATTCTTCACATAAACAGTTTAGACCAAAACCACATGGTTATCTCAATAGACACAGAAAAGGCCTTCCATAAAATTCAACATCCTTTCATGTTAAAAACTCTCAATAAACTATGTATTGATGAAACATACATCAAGACAATAAGAGCCATTTATGAGAAACCCACAGCCAATATCATACTGAATAGGCAAAAGTTGGAAGCATTCCCCTTAAAAACCAACACAAGACAAGGATGCTCGCTCTCACCACTCCTGTTCAACACAGTATTGGAAGTTCTGGCCAGGGCAATCAGGCAAAAGAAAAATAAAGCATATTTAAATAGGAAGAGAGGAAGTCAGACTGTCTCTGATGGCAGATGACATGATCCTATATCTAGGAAACCCCATCACCTCAGCCCGAAAGCTCTTAAGCTGATAAGCAACTTCAGCAAAGTCTTAGGATACAAAATCAATGTGCAAAAATCACAAGCATTCCTATACACCAACAATAAACAAGCAGAGAGCCAAATCATGAATGAACTGTCATTCGCAACTGTTACAAAGAGAATAAAATACCTGGGAATACAGCTAACAAGGGAAGGGAAGTGAGGGACCTCTTCAAGGAAAACTCAAACCACTGCTCAAGGAAATCAGAGAGGACACAAAGAAATGGAAAAATAGTCTATGCTCGTGGTTAGGAAGAATCAATATTGTGAAAATGACCGCACTGCCAAAGTAATTTATTGACTCAATGTTATTTCCATTAAATGGCCATTGACATTCTACACAGAATTAGAAAAAAACTACTTTTTATACTGTATTTTAACACTGTATTACTTAAGTTATTTTGCTTGGGGTTAAAATGGCTCAGGTAGAAAAAGCAGTCCAATTCATATTAAGGCAATGTACAAAACTAAATAAAATGTGTACAGAGAATTGTCTTTTAGAAAACTAGATTTGTTCTTTTATTTCTCCATCTCTACAGAAAGAATTTGGACGTCTTATTGCAAGGCAGTCTCTATTGTGTCTTTTTCTGTGGTGTCTTCCAAGTGGAGCACTAGTTTGATTATATGTTTATTACAATTTGTAATAAATTGAGAAGATAGTGTCATATGTATGGAGAGAAAGCTATATCATGATATTGCAACAATTCAATCACATCTTCAGGCTCTACTGTTTTTTTAGAGGCAGGGAGGAGGGAACGAGCTCCATTTCTAATTCCGGTTCTCTTGCCATTGTCACCACATCTGCAGTGACTTCCTCCACTGAAGCCATGCATGAGGGTTGGCATCAACTTCTTCCAAATTCTTGTTAATGTTGATATCTTGACCCTGTCCCATGAATCATGAACGCTCTTAATGACATCTAGAATGATGACTCCTTTCCAGAAGGTTTTCGCTTTACTTTGCCCAGATCCATCAGAGAAATCACTATCTATGGCAGCCATAGCCTTATGAGATATATTTCTTAAAAAATAAGATTTGAGAGTCAAAATTACTCCTTGATTCATGGACTACAGAATGGATGTTGTATTCGCAGGCATGAAAACAACATTCATCTCCTCGTACATCTCTGTGAGAGTTACTGGGTGACCAGGTGCGTTGTCAATGGGCAGTAATATTTTGAAAAGAATCTGTTTTTCTGAGTGGTAGTTTTCAACAGTGGGCTTAAAATATTCAGTAAACCATGCTGTAAACAGGTGTGCTGTCATCAAGCTTTGTTATTCTATTTCTAGATCACAAGCAGGGTAGATTTAGTATAGTTCTTAAAAGCCCTAGGACTTTTGAAATAGTCAGTGAGCATTGGCTTCAACTTAAAGTCACCAACTGCATTGGCCCCTAACAAGAGAATTCACCCTGTCCTTTGAAGTTTTGAGGCCAGGTATTGACTTCTCTCTAGCTATGAAAGTCCCAGGTACCATCTCCTTTTAACAGAAGGCTGCTTGGTCCACACCGAACACCTGTTGCTTAGTGTAGCTGCCTTCATCAACGATCTTAGCTTTATCTCCTGGATAACTTGTTGCAGCTTTTCCACTTACACTTTTATGTTATGGAGATGATTTCTTTCCTTAAGTCTCATAAACCAACCTCTGCTAGCTTCAAAACAAAATTTGCAGCCTCCTCACCTCTCTCTGCCTTCAAAAAATCGAAGAGAATAAGGACCTTATCTCTGGCAAAGTTTTTGGCTTAAGGGAATGTAATGGCTGGTTTGATCCTCTGTTCAGACCACTCAAACTTTCTGCGTATCAGCAACAGGCTGTTTCCCTTCCTTATCACGCATGTGTCCACTGGAGTAGCACTTTCAATTTCCTTCAAGAACTTTTCCTTTGTCTTCTCAGCTCGGCTAACCGTTTGGTGCTTGTGGCTTTTACATGCCTTTCTCACTAAGCTTAAGCGTTTCCAGCTTTTGACTTGAAAAGAGGGAGATGCAACTCTTCCTTTCACTTGAACACTTTGAGGCCACTGCAGGGATTATTAGTTGGCCGAATTTCAATATATTGTGTCCCAGGGAACAGGGAGGCCCAACGAGTGGGAGAGGGATGGGGGAACAGCTGGTTGGTGGAGGAATCGGAACGCACATATTTAACGATTAAGTTTGCTATCTAATATGGCGTGGTTTGTGGTACCCCAAAACAATTGCAATAGTAAGATCAAAGGTCACCGATCACAGATCAACAACACACATATAATAATATGAAAAAGTTAGAAATATTGTAAGAATTATCAAAATGTGACCCAGAGACAAAAAAATGAGCATATGCAGTTGGAAAATTTGCACCAATACAGTTGCTCAATGCAGGGTTGCCAAAA